TGTGTGTGTGTGTGTGTGTGTGTGTGTGTGTGTGTGTGTGTGTGTGTATGCGTGCTTAACAATTTGGCTTGGCTGATTTTGTGTGACAATTACTCTACTGTCGTTGCCATACGTTTTTGCTGAAAGTTTTCATCTTGTTTGCAAATTTGTTGAGGCATTGCGAGAAGCATGCGACACAAGCGACACACACTCAATATCAATGCTTACAATCAGACGACACTTAGGCCATTAGGTAAGTAGTAGTAGGTAAGTCATTGTCGGCTCGCATCCAGGCAGGCAATCATAGTTGCCTCGGATGCTATTATGGGTTTTACGTTGTGTGGCAACTTCGACTTTCAACATTCGTTAACTTTGTTCACGTTAAGCACTTTCTAAAACTAACTTTAATTGTGTTTGTAAAACTTGGCCGTTATAAAAAGCGGTTTATTTTGCGTATGGAGCGGAAGTGTGGCGGAGCACAAATTTTGCTACAATTTTTCTTCACCACACATATTAACGTTGCTAAGTCAACTTTAGCAGCATTATTTGTACGTGTTTGTGTTTATTTATAATTTGATTTATGAAGCACGTGTTGCTTCCACTCACTATTAGTAGTAGTCGTAGTACTGGTTGTAGGCGTTTCGTTTATTTATTGCTCGTCTTGCAGCAATTTATTGCAGCCATACTTTTTGCACATACAAACATTTCATACAAAAAATACGTATATAAAAAGAGTTACATAATTAGAGGATTTTCATAGCTTCTCATAGAATACAGTTGCCATTTGTTCAAGTTAATTGAGCCATAAACAGTCGTGAGGTGAGGTGAGCTTCCAAAAAAAAAAAAAAAAACAAAAAAAAAAAGCCCATAATGATTTAAGTAAAACAATAAAATGTTAGTGTCATTAACAGTTTTGCACAAAACTATATAATGTTCAAAAACGATATCAATTACTTGGATAATTAGAAAATTTTTTCAATATTTAGCCCAAAACTGGTTCTCCTTTCAATATTATACGCTATTAGAAATATTAGCGTCAATAATTCAAGCAGACTCTTCACGTCATAAGCCGTGCATTATTAGCGAGCTAACACTGCCTAGATTGAAACCAATTTCCATACCATATTTTAAGTAATCCATTATGCATGTTCGAAATATGTCTTCCGAATACAGTAATCGTCCCTGAAAATGTGCATGTGTATATGTACATATATATGTTTGTGTGTGTCCCCCCCCATAATTCTCGTATACTTCACTTAAACGAGGCTTTTCGCTTCTTATATGACGAGAAAAAGATAGTGTTTGAAGTTGTTTTTTTTTTTTTTTTTTTTTGTTTTTCTTAATCACTGGCAACATGACGCTTGAAATGTTAAGAAAGTTATTTATTTGCGCTGATATTATAAACGGATGACCGGACTGTCACAGTTGTGAATGTTTTGCTGATTTGCATTGCCTCGAAAAATAGTCGGTAAGTAAGTTTGATTGATGATTCTATTATTCCCCAAAGACATTATTGCGAAATAAATTCCATTTCCGTAAATAGAAACGTGATCCCTCACCTTGCAAGACTTGTATGTATAATTAAAATTTGCTTATCATTGAGCATATAATCTAATTTAAGATTAAACAATTTGCTGCATTATAAACGATATATATGAAAGATAGGCGAGAGGAAAGGGAGGAAAGAGGAACTTGACAATGTAGCTCAACCAATACAGAATATCTTCTATCGTAGCTTAATGACTGAAACGTATCTATGTATGGAGTTTTCTTTGTTGTGATGATCGAATCATTTTTAAAACGATTTAATATTTTCGCGAGGAATGATTGAGATTTTGTTGCTCTTGTTGTTGTTGTTGTTGTTTAGCGTCGGTGCTATCTTTTCGTAGTAACAATAATTTGTAAAGAGATACGTTGCGAGAATCACTGCGTGTTTGCGTAGACTTTATCGGGACTTGGGCTCGTTAGATATTAAATTGAAAGTTTAATTTATTGATAGTGTTACGGAAATCTCAAATCCAATTTATTCCCAAATAATAAATTCCCTGGAGAGGGAAGACCCAAGTGTACATTCCCAGCGCGTCAAGGCAGATTAATGGATCAAAAATGAAGCAATGAACTTAGGTTATAGTAAAATGCTTGTAAAAACGTATATAAATAGGCGACTTGCGGAAGGCAGAGTCAGTCGGACAAGAGCAGTTGCATTTAAGTCGAAAAAGAATGTTAGAGTTGAGCAGTCGAGACTATTGCCAACGTAAAATGTAAATAGACCTACCCTTAAACAAATTGATTGTAAATAAAAGAGTCTTATAGTGAACACGTGCAAGTGTGTCTCTCTTGATAAGAATATCGACGATCCGGTGATACGAACCGTATCCGAGAAAAGCGAATTTCGTAACAATAAGTTATAGACAGAATAAATTTTTTTTTGCTTCACTCGATTGTCCAATCTGTTGAATAGTGAGGCGAGGTCCCTTTACAAGTCACAGAATGTATTTGAATGATTTTTTTTTGTGTTTCTCACTTACAAAACAAATTAGGCTGCCTACAATTAGCAATATATATGCGTATATAGATGTTGTGATCTTGGTGTTGCACTCTTATAGAATTTTTAAAATGTTTCGCTATTTCCGGCTAATTTATTTTAACCTAATTTTGTTGGTTATATAGCCGTGTAATCGAAATGCATCTATTTGGCAACTATTTTGCATTTGTCTAATATAAGCAGAATAATGAATGAATGAATGAATGAATGAATGAATGAATGAAGAGTAACTTACCATAAAGTTGAGCTTTCGGCACATTAATGCTGTTATCATTATCATTATTGCTGATGCTGATGCTATCATCAGTTACATTATCAGTGTGGGTCATTTCATCTTTACCGGCTGTATTTGTAATTTTTGAACTGTTAGTGTTAGTGACAGAGTTATCAACAAGATTGTTGTAATGATCATCATAAACATCATCAGTGTCACCCATTTCAAATTTTCGTTCATTATTATCGTTTTCATCACCGTTACCATCACGATTGCCATCATCATTATCATCAGCAGCACAGCCATCATCATTGTTGCCTTTAGATGGCATATAGACCTCATGGTTCTTGTCGTCAACTTTACTATCTATGACATGCAGTGGTAACGGTGACGTTGATTCACTTGCTGTAAATGATGTTTTATCAACGTTATAGTGTTTTTCATTTATAATTTGCTGTTGTTGTTGTTGTTGTTGTTGTTGTTGTTTTTGTTGTTTCTGCTGATGCTGTATTTCGGATTTGTTATCGGTATGTTTGTTGTTTGCATTTTCTGTTACAGTTTCAGTTTTGTGTAGAATTTTTGTTGATATTCCATTAGGAAATACATCTTCGTAATCTGTTTTATTGTTGCCTACAGTTATGGTAACGTGTTCAGCATCTTCTACTTTGTTGGTTCCGTTGTTGTCTGGTGAGGTTATTGTCGTTATCATTGTTGTTGTTGTCGTTGTTGTTATTGGTGTTGTTGTTGGTGTTGGTGTTGGTGTTGGTGTTGGCGTTGACGTTACTGTTGTAGCTACCAGCATTGCTGCGTCTGCTGCAGCCTTTTGGGTCACTAGCTTGGAGTCAAGTTGTAATTTTTCGAGCAGCATAGCTTGTATGAATTGTTCATCATAGGTTATGCACTCAGTCTCTGTGTCTCTGGAGAGTTGTGGCGAAGAAGTTTCTTGTGCATCGTAATGTAAAAGTTTGCTTTGTTCCCGTTTTTTACTGTAGTACTCATAATTGGCAGCTGCGTTAACGGACGTGGGAGAAAACGAATTTTCTTGCGCTTGATTATCGTCTTCATTTTCCGTAGAACTTGAATCTTCATTAATATCTTGATGCTGCTTGACTATAGCGATTTTATCTTCTACCATGAACTGAACTTTTTTGCGAGCTTGTGGCAATGGTATATAAAATTGTGAATTGGCAGTAGGCGTTGAAGGGGGGAACGCTGCAGAGTTCGAGGAGACTCGATTTAGCTTTGAGCCGATAGGTGTTGGTTGGGTTTTCGAAATGTCTTTATGCTGGTAGCTAGCAGATGGAGAACGCTGTTCTACCTTCGGCATTGCTATTTCTGTCGTATCGTTTACTTTCGATGATGGTCGCTTCAAAATCGATTTTATATTATGGGTGGGTGTTACGGTGACTGTAACGGTATGTTCTTTCTCAGCTATATCTGCTGTTGTGCTTGATGACGTATCTTTATTACTAGAGGTTTCCTCCTCTACTTTATTGCCGTATAGTAATCTTCTAGATTCGGGATTTGATGCATTTTGATGCACTTTCAAAGTATCAGGTCTTTGTTTAGTTGATATTTTTTCAACCTCATTTCCACCTTTCTTCATATCATTCTCTATCACAAAACTTTCATAAGAGCTGTTACCGTCGGCAGTTTGTTGCAGTAAAGACTTACGAGCCGATTTTTGTTCACCCAAACTGATACGTTGACCAGCAATAGCCTGAATATTTGAATAGTTGGGCTTATTATTTGTTTTTTTGTTATTAGTTTTGGTCTTAGTGGCGACAACGGCTTGGGGTTTTGACCTTGCGTCTACTTTCGTTTGAACCCGAAAAGGTGGTGGCTCCTCGCTTAAAGCGGCATCATTGACATTGAATTGATCATTTTGCATTTCCCGCGTCTTCACTGGAGTGTTGGTCGCCTTTTGATTCCTCCCTGAATTTGCTATAGGAGGTTCAGTATAATTGGCGACGACGGTTTCACCTGAATTTTGTAAACAATCAGAAGTCGCTGAGAGTTGGTTGTCAATTGAGATCAGATCGTAAGGATTAACATTGCAGCGTAGTATAGAACGTCTTGTACTACTTGTAGAGATTGTTGACATTGTGTCTTCGGATTCTGTGAGCCAGCTTTCATCAAGTTTAAGTGCGTTTTTGTTCGGGTCATCAACAGAGAGAGATTTCTGTGGACGTAATCTGGTTCGTCCCCTGGGGGGACTTGTACTTCGTAATCGATTGCGTGATTTATCTTTGCTGCTGCTGCTGCTGCTGCTAGAATGATTGGCAAGAGGCGACTTGGAACATCCTGGTTCGGGTGATAATAAACGCGTGCGACGCATCAAATCATACGGGTCCCTTTGTGGATCTAATATTGAAGGTCTTGTTTTTTTCGTTGTACTCACTACGCGTACGGTAGCTGCTGATCCAGCCGGTCTTAATTTAGCAGCATTTAATAAGACCGCTCCCCCGGGGGGTGTCCCATGTATACGGACGGTGCCTCCTATATTTGCTAGTGGTAAACGTGTGCCTTTGCATTTCTTACAAACGGTCGCCTTCTTAATATCACGGCGTTTAGTGCCGTTCAGGTACTCGGGACACGAACATATTACAACAGCTACTGCAGTTGCCTCAGCAGTGGCCGTCATTGGGGGCGTTGCAAATATGGCCGCTGCATGGGGATGACTGGTAGCATATCCAGAAGCTGCAACGTGCTGATGATAGTTATGATATAAACCAGAGGGACGGGCTGGTATACCCCTAACCGTGCTGTATATCCAAGGTTCGGCATATTTTGTCGAACGAGTCAGAGCACTAGGCAGATACTCGTATGCTACAGTGTTGGCTCCTGCGCTAGTATGATTGTAACCTAGTTGCAAAGCTGTTGGCAAATGCATTACGCTTATTGGCGATGTTGCAGATGATGGTACTGTAGCGGCTGATCGCTGTGTAGTTGGAAGTCGTGAAGGAAGCGTCGGTCCGTTGCGGACATTATGAGCAACATGTGCTGCTGCTTTCGTTGATGGTGTAGAGAAACTATTCGTATTCGTTACCGATGAGGTTGTCGATGTTTGAGATTTTTCGTTTTTTTGGATTTTGAGCCGTTGACTCCACGTTTTCTTTGATTTGTCGTACATGAGAATGTCCTAAAATATAAAGATTAATGTAAATTGCAATTAAGAAAAATTTGAAAGCGAAAAAAAAAAAAAACTCTCACCTTATGTTGATTATTGCACACATAATCCCTTCTTAGGTTTGTATGGGAGTGATGAGATACCGTTAAGCATTGAGAAAACGTTAAGACTGCAAAAAACCAAACATTACTAAACGATATGAATATCAAGTTGCTGTCCTGAAATAAATTTATTTCGAAATCATAAAATTTCCTTTTATCTCAAATTTACATAAAATTTCTTCGCATAAAAACAACTTCTATTAGAATACATTATGTGGTATCAGATGACCTTTTACTTGAAAGCATTTGAAAAACCAAATTTACCAAAACACATTTCAAATATTTTCCTTCTTATCAAAAAGTAAATTCTATAGAAGATAAAATAAAGGGAACAACAAAAAAAAAAAAAAAAGAAAAAAAGAAAAAAAAGTTAAATAAACTTTCTCAAGAAAACATACACAATGTAAGTAAAAACTCGAAACAAAACTGAAATTGTTGTTTTCGTTACATTTTCTATGCATTTGGTCAGTTTGCAAACAAAAAATGAAAAACAAAAACAAGAATTAAAGCAGAATTTTTATGCACTCGGTTTGGGTCGATGTGATTTCATCCTACGAATGCATAAACAAAAATAGACAAGCGAATAAATGTAATTCTCAATAAGTAAGAGAGAATTATAAAAAAAAAAAAAAAAAATCAACGCTCGTTACAATAGTTTCAACAATTCAATTAATTGCTAGCGTATAAATTGATCAGCTCTCGGTTGGTCTGCTTTTACGCCGAACTCTCAGATCCCTCGCTCTCGTAAATGCGCTAAATTTCATATCATAGCTTTTTATGAATTCGGGAAAGTATTGCCGAAATCGAAAATTTGATAAGACATGTAACGGACCCACGGACACAAAGACGTACGGACCGATAGACAAAGGTCACGCATCGATTTCGAAATTTTTATAGTTGTGCATATGCAATGACAAAACTTTTATGCCCTCATCTTTCGGTGACGGCTATAACAAGAAAGAGTATTTGTGATGGTGGTAGCGGGAGAGCATCATAATAGCCACAAAATACCGCAAAAACATATACTTTAAGTGTTCTTTCAGTATAAGAAAACGTGTGTGTTATATGTGTATAAGCTCGGTTTGTTCTTGTTACTGTTGTTAGGCTAGTTGGTTTGGGTGTAAATTGTCGGCTACCAGTTGTTGGGTTATTAATCATGAATAACGTGAAAGAAGCAAAAAAAAAAAAAAAAAAAAAAAAAAAAAAAAAAAATGAAAAGAAAAAGAAAAGCTATTCTGCAGCATACGCAACATCAACTCTATTCAGTGCCGAGCTGAGTGTTGTGTGGTAGTTGTTTTTTTTTATTTATTTTTATTTTTTTTTTTGCTATCCGTACCTTGTCTATTGGTTGTCCTGTGTCCGTTCTATATTCTTGCACAACAATGCAGTTATTTGCGGCTGCTTGTATACGTATCTGTTGTGTAGAAGTTGTTGTGGTTCTGCTGTAATTTCCTATTTACTCTATACACAGATTTCTTCTCCCTCCTGTCGTACTCGCTTGCCCTGTATATCTTAGTGCTTATGCTTCACACAGAATTTCTTTGTAAATTGTTTATTTTTAAGTTGTTGTTTTTTTTTTTTTTTGTATTTTATTTTATATTTTTATTTGTGTGTGGTCCACTTTTTTCTTTCCAAGTTTTTCTATTGAGTTTCTCGTATTGTACTTATATTTATATTGTATGAACTTGGTTTCTTCTTGTTCTTTTCATTTTCTTTTTTTTGCAAAGGTGTTAGTGAATGGTTCCTGTGTTTTCTTATTTGGAAAGTTTTAAACTATTTTTGATAAATGTTGACATTTTGTTACCGCCAACCACGCCTGATAAATAATAATTATGTGACCTGGAAGGAGAAGCAAAAACGTAATGAATGCCTAAACTGTTACAATACTTTTTGTTATAATTCGGTCCGTTTGTTTTTCGTGGCTAGAATATTTACTAGACAGTGTCAAGTGGAACGATAGACTTTAGTATGGTTTGTTTATTTATTTATTATTGTATTGTTAATTAGAGTGTAAATTATTTGGGAAATTATATGTTCTTCTACAGCACATACATATATAAATGCGTCTATCCGGGCAAAAATGTGCTAAACACGTGACACTTAAAAGTTTAAAATTAGTTAAAAATACATTTTTGCATATTATTTATGCTATTTATAATAAACTAAACGGCAGCAACTAAGCAACTAAGTTAAAAAAAAGCGATAATCACCTCGAACAGAAGTGAAAAGAGATGCTCAGCATATACATGAGATTCAAATTATTTTTAACTGAGTGAAATTTTTCGCGATTCAAAAAAAAATATCATATTGCTTTCGTAGCACTTAATTATCACATGCAATAAATACTTGCGTAGCACGTAGTACATGTGACTTTGCTCTTAAATAATTCATCATAGCAAGCCGCCACTGCATCCAATCCAATCATATCAACATTTTCAACATATGACATTGAGAACATATCGAAAAATGTGCTACAATCTAAATAGCTGTCTACATAATAATTCTAAGGCAATACCAGGCCATGACTTTTCTAAATTTATTACTGAATCAATTATATAGATTGCGTTTCAATATCTATTGAATGTAGGCCGGATGTAGGATGTGGCTTACAAATTTTTACCAAATATCAATCTGAAGTTGAAGTAGTCGTATCTAACGATCAGATCTCTCACAAGTACTTGGAAAACTGAAATTCTTAAGTTTTTTGTTTGTTTTACCCAACCAATCAAACGATGGCAGTACGCCCGAGTTTCATGTGTGTGTTTCTAAAACTGCAAAACACGTCTCAAAGATAACACAAAGTGTATATATTCTTAATCAGGATAAGCTTCTGAATCGCTATAAGGGTGGGGGCGATTATAAAAGTTAGGGGAAAATGATCGAAAAGACTTATTACTCTTTATAATCTTTGAAATTTCGGGGTTTTTACTTCCGAAAAGATTTCCTATGTCAAGTCTACGCCTGCGAACGATTTCTAAGCTAATGCTTTTTACTTGTTGATTTGTTACGTCACTAACAATTGGATTAGGACGACTCTTAAACCGATTCCAGGTCACACATAGTTCGATGATCTTCCGAACTAAGTAAATAGTTTGAGATGAAGTTTTTAGACTTGATTATGAACTCGGTTTTAAAATTAGAAACTTTGTTGTCCTTTTTGGCTTTTGGAAAACATTCAATGCAACGTGAGAGGCACTTTCGACCATTAAAGTTTTCAAGGAAATCGAGTAAGAGCAGTTTTATGCCCCGGACGATTTGAAGACTAATGAAGGAAAGCTTGTTGTAATAAAAAAAATAAAACATTTCTATAACACTCTTCAAAACTTAAAGTTCGCCTTTTTTGGGAGACAATTTTTCAGATTAGCACGCAGTGTGAAGGCAATGATTTTCAATTTTTTTTTTTGCAAAATAAAAGTTTTTAGCGCATAGGCATATGGGCGTTGTAGGCGTATATTTTGAAAAGTTTCGGTCAATTTCAAAGTCTTTTGCAAATTTGTAGGCGATATCTTCGTTTTTCGCTGACAGGCGAATAGCTACCACAAACACTATAAAATTGCACCGACCGACAGATGGATAGGCGAGCATGTTTACGCGTATTGCAAATTTGCAACTGGACTAGAATTTGTATACTTTGTGGGGTTTTTGAAGCTTGTTTCTGCGCCTGATAAATGTATTGCAGAACTGAACAACTGAATTTTGATACCCTACAATACCGCGTAGACGTGGTCAAATTTTTCCAATTTTTGGACACAAATGCTACAGCATCGGTCATAGAAAATACCTTTACATTTTTGTACATTTATTTGCTATTGTTTATTCCTGTTGAAACTCGGAGATGTTCTTCTATGTTTATGTGGTGCTGTGGGCATGTCGTTCGAGCGATTTGGGTCATATTCAACATCAACTGGCGTGCAAGAAATTCCAATGTTTGTGCCGAATTTGTAATCGATAGCTTCACTTTTGCGGCTAGGAGAAGGTTTACAACAGATATTGTACAGACGGGCAAACACACAGATGGACACAGATGGAGCTATTTAAATCAATTTGGAATTTGATGCTGATCAAGAATATATATACTTTGTGGGGGGCCTTGAAAGCTTCTTCCGTGGCGTTGCACACTTTTTGACAACATGAATATACCCTTCATCCTTTGGTGATGGATAAAAAATAAGACATAATAGGCTGGTGGTATGATATGATTGCTATCGAGCAACAAAGATGCCAATATTAGAAAAGACATTTTACTATGCTTAAGTCTATTTTTTTTTTTTTTTTTTTCTATTAACTAAAATGGATTTTTTTTTTTTCGGTTAAGTGAAAATTTTTGCCAGAAGTTGACTTAACTTATTAGAATAGGCTATGGTTATAAAAACAAAGATGCATAAATTTTTATTTAATTGATTATAAGACGCGTTAAATATTTGTGTAAATATAAATTAAAATATTTAATCTTCAACGAGTTGAAGAGTATAGAGAATAAAGGTCATGTATGATAATTATATATTAAATATAATACGCAATAGAAAGGTTGACTGGTATGCGTGATTATATAGTTTAGTTAAATTATCTAAATTATAAACAGCTGCGTTTCAACATAATATTTATGTTCCTATGTGGGTGATAATTTCCCCGTTAAATTTTCACCTCAAAAATGATAAAGAAATATCGCATGAAATTTGTTTAAGCAGCACCTGAAGGCAAGCCCACGGACACATAATGTTAATGTGTGTTTTTAATAAAATAAAAATTTAATGTCTATTGATTGCATTATCATTATCGATATCGGTATAATAATTAATCGCACTTAATTGTCGAGTCTCGATAGGCTTTCATATTCATAAATGAGCATTTGATAATCTCTTCCATCTTAATCTTATGGATAATTGGCTTTAATAAGCCTAATGGATGGATGTGTATGCATCTTGTATTTACAAATTGCAAAATGCATTTATTTATGCGAATTTTCACACTTCAGCATTATATTTATGCAAAAAAAATATGTTTATATATATATATAAAAATATACATATATATATATATATATATATATATATACATGTATATATAA